CAGTTTGTCCTTTGCCGAAAATCAATTTGAGATGCAAGTGTAAATTTAAGCATTTAGAAAACAAAAAATTAGTTATTTGGAAAGAAACTTGGTATACTGTGAGACAGTTGTTCAACATATATCATAGTATGTTGCAAAACATCGCAACTTTTTCAGGGTCAAAGATATGGACCCCTATTTTTGGGGATTCTAGATATGATACAGTGGGCATAGCACTCCAATATTTTCTATGAAATTTTCGCCGCTGCAACATACGGTGTGCCAATACCATAGTTTTCTCAGGTGATAAGTATTGCAATGGCCTGTGAGTCATTGCAAATGACGATGGTACAAGATGCATAAATTTGTGAAGTTCGCACCTCTTGCGCCAGATACCTAACTCTATTTCGCTCCAGACTTAAAATGCCATAACGATATTGGTACGCTTATGCCGCCTCTCATCCTTGTCAATCTTCCAACATCTAGTTTTCTAGAGTGGCCTTACATGCCTCATACATCTCGACTCTTCTAACGCTCATAGGAATATGGTTTTGCAACTGTTTGACGATGGTCGATGACAATAGTGAACTTTTTGATCTGCAGGACACTAGCAGACCATATCTTCTAAAACCACGTTAGGAATGATATGCTATCGATGACAAGCTTGTTGATTTCAAGGAACGATCATCCGTGCGAGCATTTATACTCGTGAAACCAAAAATTGAGACTTGATGTTAGGGACAGGAGGATTCAGCGGTCTCTTGCACAATTTCGATATTCCATTTCCAACAGGAGTTGTGGACGGGCTTATTTATGTCTTGTGGGTCTATGTGTTAGCTGGGCATGGCTGAAGACTTGCATTAGCAGCCAGCCAGCATTTTTCATTCATATTGGGGAACGACTCACAATTTGTTTGCGATTCAAATCTCCTCCGTTCATCCCAGTATTAAGAGATTGAATGTGGAGTGGAAAACTATATCGTCATCTTCAGAGGAAGCTGGCTAAACGGGCTCGCAATGAAAACAGACTCCGGACCGAAGGGCGTGGTTCCTTTGATTTCCTATCTAAGAAGCAGGCAACCATGCACTGCTGCCAGGTTCCAGCAGGTGCCTGACACCTGGCAAGCATTTTCACTGCCAGGTATGTCATTTGTTGTCATATATTGACATATACCGCCAACTGTGGTAGCTGAGTGCCACTGAACAAAAAGGATTTATAGGTACTAAAACATGGATACTACTTTTGTACTGACCATAAGAATAAAAGTTAAAGTGCGGCATTGCGTAATGCGTATGCTCACCTCCATATGAGGTCAATGAATATTGTGCAAGTTCCTGCCGATCGGTGCACAGTTACCTGTATCTGTGTTGTCTGACACGTACAACGGTTATTGCACTGGTCAGTGCGCGGCTGTTATACTGACGCCGATGGCATCAGGACCGCACGACCAGTCAAAGTACTAACTGACGATTCACAGGCTGAGTTTCAGTCACCCGAGATTGTCCGGCTATCATGAAGATAAACCAACATCGTCTTTGGCATTGATTCCGGTCCCTCGGCAGGCTGTCCAGCATTTTGCATCAGAACTGCTTCACTTCAACCACTTACCGCGAGCCAACTGTAATGTCTTCATTTCTATATCAAGTATGCATAACGCATCTACGTTTGAGAAGCACGGCCCACATGTCTGAATTATGAAAAAATTGCACAAGTGCAACGCGCTGTATCATGGAAATTGAAGGAATAGAAGGCACTCGTAAATAGATGCCTATGATTAGCGTTGTTCCCTAAGCACCGACTGAAAGGACATTTTGATACAAGAAGGATGACAATGAAATATTAAGAAAATGTTCTGATAAAAAGTGCACAGTAAAGGATGTCTTGTTGGCATTTTACACATTTTAACTGCCACTTTTATCACTGAAATTTTTAATAATATATATTTTCTCATCTATGTCTTCACTTCCTTCTGTGTGGTCTGATACCACTAAAAATTACCAAGTGGAATGCCCAATGTATCATATTTGATACAAAATTCATTTCCGAAATTTGAACTGCGAAAAAATATTTGATTCCAGATTTCGAACAAGGGACCCAAAATGAATCATATGTCACAAGGTGCTAATTTTAGGAACCGTGGAACTATGTGTGGGCATTAGAGGGTTAAAGGGACTATCCCACCTTTAACATGGGGTTTGAGTTGAGATAGCCAAGTTTGCGGCAAGGTTCAGAAACCACTATCTATCTAGGTTGCAACCCCCACGGCCTCTTGGTGTATCTTCAACATGGAGCGACCGTTAGTGTGACGTCACCTCGTTTAGTCATTCTGATTTAAATGGGCTTGTTCGTTGAAAAATCGCTTAAAACTTGGTCTGAACTTTGTTGTGGTGCCTACAGAGTAAAAAGAATCAGCTTTATGACAGTAATGTGGCCTGGGGAAGGAGGTAATTTTGGGCTGTGACGTCACATATGTGAAAGTTTGTGTTTGGAATATGGGAAGCCTAAGATGTTTAATGAAAAATAAATGCCAGAACCGTGTTCCTGGTCATCCAATCTATAAAGTCGGGCACAATTTAACTGGTTTTAACAACATTTTAGAAGGTGGGATAGTCCCTTTAACTTAACTCTACGTTAACTCTAAATTCTGTCATAGACCAGGAATTGCGTGATCGGAAGGTAGAGGACAGGGCCAACGCAATAAGCTCCGCTTAGCGGGGGCTCTGTCCTTCTGAATCCTTCCCAAGGCCCTAAATACACATCCTTTCATTCAAAGGGCTCGGACAAAATCTATTTTGTAAAAAATCTGAGATCCTATAACGAGCTATCTTTTGTTTGTTTGCGTCTTTCTGGCTTTCTTGGTTTCCGCGATAAGCTAGTGTGGCCAAATAAGATATACATTGTTATACATTGAAGACAGACTATACCTATATTGCGGTAATAAGTCTTTAATCTAGTAGTCGCCTTTTACTGAGAACGCAGCATACACGCCGCATATCACGGCTAATACTGCAACGCAGCTCAGATTTCATAGTTGGCATTAATTCTCACCACGGCCACCACGGCCAATTTTCACCACCACGGCAAAGTTGGTTGAGACCTGCACCAAGGCGACAGTTACTGGACGACCTAGTATTAGCTTTTATTCATTGCACCCATTATCTAGCCATCTTAAGGGGCCAGCCAAACGCTAATTGGCAGCGGACCGGCCGTTGGCAGTGGCACTTTTCATTGGAAGTGGACCACCCGTTGGTAGGGACCCACCTATGGGCGTAGGAACCTCACGAAAAGTGTGGGGGGGGGGCAGCGAAACTTCAATGTCACTTTGTGGGAGCCCTAATACCACTATGAAAAATTTATTTGCAGTTTTGTGCTCATCTCACCCTGGTGAACCATTTCCTGCTCTTAGTTTTGTATCTAATTACAAAATAAAGCCTTACTTTAAAAATGGCTGAAAAGTGGGGGGCATGACCCCCTGGCCCCTCTGTTCCTACACCTATGGGACCGCCCGTTGACATTGAACCACCCGTTGACATTGGGCCATCCTTCTGTATCGTGTCAGACATTGTGATATTTATTCACTTTCGATGATAACACAAAAGCAAATATTCTAAATAGCCATATTTAGAATATATTTAATATTTATAAATAATATTTGGCTATTTAGAATATTTGCTTTTGTGTTATCATCGAAAGTGAATAAATATCACATTGGGCCATCCGTTGGCAGGGGACCACCCGCTGACTTTGGACCACCCGTTGTCATTGGACCACCCGTTGGCAGTGGACCACCCGTTGGCAGGGACCACCCGTTGGCAGGGGACCACCCGTTGGCAGGGGACCACCCGCTGGCAGGGGACCACCCGTTGACATTGGACCACCCGTTGACAGGAGGCCACCCGTTGGCAGGGGACCACCCGTTGACAGGGGACCACCCGTTGACAGGGGACCACCCGTTGGCAGGGGACCACCCGTTGACATTGGACCACCCGTTGGCAGGGGACCACCCATTGACAGGTGACCACCCGTTGACAGGTGACTACCCGTTGACATTGGACCACCCGTTGGCAGGGGACCACCCGTTGTCAGGGGACCACCCGTTGGCAGGGGACCACCCGTTGACAGGTGACTACCCGTTGACATTGGACCACCCGTTGGCAGTGGACCACCCGTTGGCAGGGGACCACCCGTTGACATTGGACCACCCGTTGGCAGTGGACCACCCGTTGGCAGGGGACCACCCGTTGGCAGGGGACCACCCGTTGGCAGGGGACCACCCGTTGACATTGGACCACCCGTTGACAGGAGGCCACCCGTTGGCAGGGGACCACCCGTTGACAGGGGACCACCCGTTGACAGGGGACCACCCGTTGGCAGGGGACCACCCGTTGACATTGGACCACCCGTTGGCAGGGGACCACCCATTGACAGGTGACCACCCGTTGACAGGTGACTACCCGTTGACATTGGACCACCCGTTGGCAGGGGACCACCCGTTGTCATTGGACCACCCGTTGTCATTGGACCACCCGTTGGCAGTGGACCACCCGTTGGCAGGGACCACCCGTTGGCAGGGGACCACCCGCTGGCAGGGGACCACCCGTTGACATTGGGCCACCCGTTGACAGGGGACCACCCGTTGACAGGGGACCACCCGTTGACAGGTGACCACCCGTTGGCAGGGGACCACCCGTTGACATTGGACCACCCGTTGACAGGGGACCACCCGTTGGCAGGGGACCACCGGTTGACAGGTGGCCACCCGTTGACAGGTGACCACCCGTTGACATTGGACCACACGTTGGCAGGGGACCACCCGTTGACATTGGACCACCCGTTGGCAGTGGACCACCCGTTGGCAGGGGACCACCCGTTGACATTGGACCACCCGTTGGCAGGGGACCACCCGTTGACAGGAGGCCACCCGTTGGCAGTGGACCACCCGTTGGCAGTGGACCACCCGTTGGCAGGGGACCACCCGTTGGCAGGGGACCACCCGTTGGCAGTGGACCGCCGACACAGACCGGGCCGGGCCGGCAGCTCAAGGTCCCCTTGCTCGTCGTCGTCGTCGCCGTCGTCGTCGTCGTGGGGCTGCTCGGCGGCGCCATCGGGCCTGTACACGGCGCGCGACGAGCGGTCCAGGCAGCCGTAGGAGCCGGGCTCGTTGAAGCACATGTGGCCGGGCTGGCACTGGTCCAGCCGGGCCACACACTCGTCCACATCTGCGCGGCAGTCGGGGGCCGGGCGGGCGGACCAGTCAGTGGGGCACAGCCAGCGAGAAAGTGGCACAGTGAGACAGATATCGGGGTTACATGAGCACAGTAAATACGTATTTAGCCGCTAATTCGAATTAGGAACGCATTACCGACTCATGTAGCCACCTGCTAGTACGAATCGGCGATCCGATCCGCGGTTACATGAGCAAAGCAAGTACGCATCACGATCGGATTCACCGCTAATGCGAATCAGGAGCGTACTACCGACTCATGTATCCACCTGCTAATACGAATCGGCGGTCCGAACAAAATCCGCAGGGAAAGAGGCTTAGAAGCGAATAGGACCATGATACGTATTACAGGAACTATTTCTTTCCAAAAAGAAACATTAAAATGCAAAATAATAGGTATTTTTCATTTGTTTCTTTTGAAATAATAATTAAAAAAATATATCAGTATTTTGTCAAGTTTTCAAAAATAAATATAGTGAAAACCAAAAAGAAAATATCAAAGTACTTTCAGTTGAAACATTTTTCTGACAGCACTACAGACGAATCAAGAGAGGCAAGTGCTCAATGAGTCAAAGCAAGACAACTTTATGTTTAACTTTTTTTTGTTAAGTTAATTGAGAATGTTTTGAGCAGATTAAATGCAAAAAAGACATAAGATATTAAGTTTTTAATTCAGTCACCTCTATTGCTACGGAAGTGCGCCACATTTGTATGCTATTCCGTTTGTAATGCGCATCGGGCCGAGAGCCAAACTAGATCCGTTTGACGTCACTGATACGAATTTGCTCATGTAGTCGGTGCACTGAATGCGTTCTTGGGGAGCTGATGTGAATTAGCGTAGTGGCACCTTACTGGATCGGATGAGACTGTAAGATTCATTAGAACGGCGAGGCCCACAGCCATACACACATCGACGCCGCAAACGCCCGTACGTGCTCGGCGGCGGCATCGTGTGAACCCATGACTCATATGAAACACCCAGTGACACCTAGCGGTCGGCCAGACATTGCACTGACGTGGAAGTGACTACAGGCGGCGGCGCCCCACGAACTGCACCCTTCCCTTTGCTGACAAACCATCACAGAGGGAACATCTTTGTGCTGCCTGCCGACGATTGCAGATTGCCACTAGGCGCAAATAAGGTGGGTCGTATCCTGCATTTCCGCTGCCGCCCTACTGGCCGCCACGACCGACTGGCCCTAGGACAGGGCTGCACGTCGGCCATTATTGTTCAGGCCAGAGCTCTCCAACGGCCGACAGTATCACCGACCGTATGCAATTTCTTTGGCGTCTTTCAGCGGGAAATCACGGTACTGACCCTATGCAGGACGCTGATCGACAGAGGGCGTGAAAGGAGTCGAGACCGAGTCGCGCCAAAAGAAAATTGGTATATGAAGGTTACTCGTACCACCGATCGCCGAGCACGTGCTAATGGCACCTTACTGGATCGGATGAGACTGTAAGATTCATTAGAACGGCGAGGCCCACAGCCATACACACATCGACGCCGCAAACGCCCGTACGTACTCGGCGGCGGCATCGTGTGAACCCATGACTCATATGAAACACCCAGTGACACCTAGCGGTCGGCCAGACATTGCACTGACGTGAAAGTGACTACAGGCGGCGGCGCCCCACGAACTGCACCCTTCCCTTTGCTGACAAACCATCACAGAGGGAACATCTTTCCCCACCTCCTCCCCACTCCCCCACTATTACATTATCTTCCCTCCCAACCCATTGTCTCCTCCTTTCATCAGTCCGTCTCGTCTTTCAGCGGGAAATCACGGTACTGACCCTATGCAGGACGCTGATCGACAGAGGGCGTGAAAGGAGTCGAGACCGAGTCGCGCCAAAAGAAAATTGGTATATGAAGGTTACTCGTACCACCGATCGCCGAGCACGTGCTAATGCGTATTTGGAACGGATCGCTGGCACACGATTCGGGCCGTATTTCACAAGAACTATTCTTTGCTGACTGGAAGCGTCAAAATGCAAAATACTAAGCATTTTTTTATTGGCTGACTGGTAGAAAATAGCAAAACAATGTTGGTATTTTGGTTTAGTCATTGCATGTGAAATAAAATGAATGAAATATTATGATAGATAATTTTTTTCTGACCACCCTGCTGTCGCTGCATGGCGAATCAGTGCCCACTGAATTAAAACAAGAAAACTTTGTTTATTTTTTTATTTCATGTTAATTTTAAATGTTTTTGAGCCTATCAAATGATATAAGTATTCAAAATTTAGTTCGTCGTCCCGGTAAATGCCGCAACTGCGCCATGACTGTACGCTAATCCTATTCCGTTTGTGATACGAATTACCGGCCGTCGAGGAGTCAGCCCGGGTGAGCCAAACAAGATCCGTTTGACGTAGATAAAACGAATTAGTCTCATGTAACCGGTGCCGTAGATACGTTTGTGGGCAGCTGATGCGCATTAGCGTAGTGCGTATTTGGAACGGATCGCTCATGTAACCCCGGTAAGAGTAAACCACATTGAACTACTCTATTACCGGGGTTACATGAGCGATCCGTTCCAAATACGCACTACGCTAATGCGCATCAGCTCCCCACAAACGGATCTACGGCACAGGTTACATGAGACTAATTCGTTTTATCTACGTCAAACGGATCTTGTTTGGCTCACCCGGGCTGACTCCTCGACGGCCGGTAATGCGCATCACAAACGGAATAGGATTAGCGTACAGTCATGGCGCAGTTGCGGCATTTACCGGGACGACTGAGCTAAATTTTAAATACTTTTATCATTTGATAGGCTCAAAAACATTTAAAATTAACATGAAATCAAAAAATGAAAACAAAGTTTTCTTGTTTTAAGTCAGTGGGCACTGATTCGCCATGCAGCGACAGCAGGGTGGTCAGAAAAAATTATCTATCAAAATATTTCATTCATTTTATTTCACATGCAAAGACTAAACCAAAATACCAACATTTTTTTTTTTGCTATTTTCTACGAGGCAGCCAATAAAAAAATGCTTAGTATTTTGCATTTTGACGCTTCCAGTCAACAAAGAATAGTTCTTGTGAAATACGGCCCGAATCGTGTGCCTCGGACGTTTCGGTTACATGAGCGATCCGTTCCAAATACGCACTACGCTAATTCGCATCAGCTCCCCAAGAACGCATTCAGTGCACCGACTACATGAGCAAATTCGTATCAGTGACGTCAAACGGATCTAGTTTGGCTCTCGGCCCGATGCGCATTACAAACGGAATAGCATACAAATGTGGCGCACTTCCGTAGCAATAGAGGTGACTAAATTAAAAATTTATTATCTTATGTCTTTTTTGCATTTAATCTGCTCAAAACATTCTCAATTAACTTCACAAAAAAAGTTAAACATAAAGTTGTCTTGCTTTGACTCATTGGGCAATTGCCTCTCTTGATTCTTCTGTAGTGCTGTCAGAAAAATGTTTCAACTGAAATTATGTGGATATTTACTATTTGGTTTTCACTATATTTATTGTTGAAAACTTGACAAAATACCGATATATTTTTTTTTTTATTTGAAAAGAAGAAAATGAAAAAATACCTATTATTTTGCATTTTAATGTTTCTTTTTGCGAAGAAATAGTTCCTGTAATACGTATCTTGGTCCTATTCGCTTCTAAGCCTCTTTCCCAGCGGATTTTGTTCGGACCGCCGATTCGTATTAGCAGGTGGATACATGAGTCGGTAGTACGCTCCTGATTCGCATTAGCGGTGAATCCGATCGTGATACGTATTTGTTTTGCTCATGTAACCGCGGATCGGATCGCCGATTCGTACTAGCAGGTGGCTACATGAGTCGGTAATGCGTTCCTAATTCGAATTAGCGGCTAAATACGTATTTACTGTGCTCATGTAACCCCGATAAATAATGCATCTGGCGCATCGGCCGCCAGATGGTGTCCAACGGTGCCGCCATGTTGCGCAAACCAGGAAGCGGCCGCCGCCTGTGTTGGGGAATAGGGAATTCGGGACCTCGATTTGCGTTTGCGGCCGCTGTATCCGTTACGTTCAAGCTACGCAGACACGGAACCCGGCATCTTACGCAGAATTGAGTGGAGGTGAAATCCTAAAAATCCTCAGATACAGGTAACTTATACGTTATACCCTTATAAGTCAACGGGGAAATATGTAAATTGCTATTTTGGCGCCGGGAATGATCTAAAACTATCTCAAGCATATAGAATCGTGATTTCATGCTCTCCTTGCAAGGTCCGATGCTTCACATTTGCATTGTTGCCCTTGCTTGACGTCATTTGTGACGTCACAAGGGTAATAAACTTTTCTTCAATAACTCCCGATCAAACTGAGCTAGCGAATCGGGAAAGCCACAAATGGACTCAGAAAGACCTGCCGAATCGAATGCTATGCAACATGACCTTACTCAACGTCCAGTATCACTTCATGCGCCTGAGCTAGGTGAACACGATGATGCCAAAATCGCGGCTCTATGGCCATTTTTGGCGAAGTTATTTACCAAAAACCGAACCCGTGCCTTCGGTCACTTGAGCTGACCCAGAGGTCACCGGTTGACCTGAGAAATATGTAGGGTGACAGACAACTTGAGCGTGAATGCGTGAACGTGACCTTAGTTCATCGCATGACCTTGAGAGGTCAATTGGGTATTGGGAAAGTAAGATTAGATGTTGGCGAGTCGATTGGTGCCATTTGTAGCGCTCTAGCTCTACTGGGTGGGCCACAATCTGCTGTGCAAATTTGGGCCACATGACCTTTGCTGACTTCTGTAGGCCAAACGGCTGGGAGTGCCACCGAATGAGTCGGACTGTGGATTGGGCATGTAAGGACCTACATTGTGTGCGAGCTTCAGCTTGATCGGAGGTGTCCCGAATCTGGGCTGAATCCGGGCTGAATCTGGGCTGAATATGGGCTGTCTTGATAGTTGATGGACATGGCACTGCCGACTTTTGGTCCCATTCTTTCCATGCAACGCCCATAGGGCTTATGTTAAAATGCCAAAATC